CTCAAGGTATAAGGAAGCCTGCTAGTTCCTTTAACAAAACCTAGTCCAGGTCCTTCAAGATGGATAATATGGACAGATTTTTTTTTTTTTTTTTTTCAAAACAGAGTCTTGCTTTGTTGCCCAGGATGTAGGGTAGTGGCCCCATCTTGCCTTACTGCAGCCGCCACCTCCCAGGTTCAAGCTATTATCATGCCTCAGCCTCTCGATTACAGGTGTGCACCACCACACCTGGCTAATTTTGTATTTTCAGTAGACCTGGTTTCACCATGTTGGCCAGGCTGGTCTCAAACTCCTGAGCTCAAGTGATCTGCCTGCCTCAGCCTCCCCGCAAAGAATTGCTGGGATTACAGGCGTGAGCCACTGCGCCCAGGCAATATGCAGAGATTCTTTATAGGGTGAGGGGCACCCTTCTCCTTTGGAGATGCCAAAGCTGGCCCTTAGGGGGCGCTGGGTCTCCTGATTGTGGTGGCCAAGGAAGACTGCAGTCACTCCCCAGGACACCTCCATATTCACCTTTCATCGAGAATATTCAGGAAACAGATTTTGTTTATCCAAGAGTCCCAGAGTTGATCCTATTCTAAGTTCTGAAGGTGATTTCCTTTGCCTCTCATCACAAGGGAATAATCTATAAGACTTATCAGACGTGGTAAGAGGCAAGTAAAGAGAGGTTCGACTGAAAGAATGAAGGGAGGCAGTAAATGCAAATCTTTTCTGAGCAGTGTGAGGGAAAGAGAGCAGCTAAGGTCCAAGATGCTAACCCTCAACTGTCACTTTCTCTTTTTTTTTTTTTTTTTTTTTTTTTTTTTGAGAAGAAGTCTCGCTCTGTTGCCAGGCATGGAGTGCAGTGGCGTGATCTCGGCTCACTGCAACCTCTGCTTCCTAGGTTCAAGTGATTCTCCTGCCTCAGCCTCCCGAGTAGCTGGGACTACAGGTGCACGCCACCACGCCTGGCTAATTTTTGTATTTTTAGTAGAGACGGGGTTTTGCCATGTTGGCCAGGATGGTCCCAATCTCTTGACCTCATGATCCGCCTGCCTCAGCCTCCCAAAGTGCTGGGATTACAGGCATGAGCCATGGCGCCCGGCCCCTCAGCTGTCACTTTCATGCAGCCCCTTCTACTTGTCCTCCAAGGCTCCTTCCCATCTTTGCCACAATAGAGAGCAGCATGTACGAAGGGCACCTCCGACAAATCTTCCACCTCCAGTCAATGTGCAGAATGAACGGACCAAAAGAAACACCTGTAGTGCTCCCTCAGGCCACAATGGACATGACTTTTGTTCCTTTTCCCCTACGAAGGAGGAAAAAAACAAAAACAAAAATACAAACAAAAATTTTTTAAAAATTATTTTTGTAAAGACAGGTTCTCCCTATGCTTCCGGGCTGGTCTCAAACTCCTGGACTCAAGCAATCCTCCCTCCTTGACCATCTGAAGTGCTGGGATTACAGGCATGAGCCACTGTACCCAGCCCCCAAATTCTATTCTTGATTCACTTCTGGTTTGCAACCATATGTATTTGCACTTCTTGTTACTTTATGTTCTTAGACTGTTTTGTGTGTCCACTACTGTGTATAGGTTATAAACATTGAGGACACAGTTTTTATTTATTTATTTAGAAACAGTCTCACTCTGTCACCAAGGCTGGAATGCAGTGGTGGCTAACTGCTACCTCCCCATTCCAGGTTCAAGTAATCCTCCACCTTAGCCTCCTGAGTAGCTAGGACTCCAGCCACGTGCCCCTATGCCTGGCTAATTTTTTTATTTTTAGTAGAGGTGGGGTTTCACCATCCTGGCCAGGCTGGTCTCGAAATCCTGACCTCAAGTGATCCACCTGCCTCGGCCTCCCAAAGTGCTGGGATTACAGGGGTGAGTCACTGCACCTCATCAAGGTCCATTTTTTTTTTTTTTTTTTGAGACAGAGTCGCACTCTGTCACCCAGGCTGGAGTGCAGTGGTGTGATCTCAGCTCACTTCAACCTCTGCCTCCTGGGTTCAAGTGATTCTCATGCCTCAGCGTCCCGAGTAGCTGGGATTACAGGCATGCACCACCACACCTGGCTGATTTTTGTATTTTTAGTAGAGATAGGGTTTTGCCATGTTGGCCAGGCTGGTTTCGAACTCCTGTCCTCAAGTGATCCATCAGCCTCGGCCTCCCAAGATGCTGGGATTATAGGCTTGAGCCACTGCGCCTGGCGTCAAGGTCCATTTTAAAAGTTTTTATCCTTACTATTTCAAATACTAAAACTTTAGTATGATTCAAGATGATTAGTATACCAAAACTAATTGACTGAAGAAATGCTAAATACTATAAGTATCAGGAAGAACTATTTTGAGATTTTTGAAGTTCATTTCCAGCTGCTACTTAAAGAGGAAACGGATTTTTATACACCAGAGAAATACCACTATGTGGTATCTGACAGTTCCCACCTTAACCAAGCAATGAAACTGAGCATAATTAAGTGACAAATTCTGACCTGATGTCTCCAGCGTAATGTAATGTGAAGTATGTAATGTCATTTATTAAGTATTCTTTGCAAAATTGTTTCACCCAAATCTAATCAAGTCTGTAGACCTACTTCCAGTTTTGAGGAAATATAGGCTTACAGCCCTGTCCAATAGAACTTTCTGCAATGATGTAAATATTCTATATCTGCACTAATACAGTAACCACCAGCCTACTGAAAAATTCAATTTTGTTTTTTGAAAAACAGGGTCTCACTTTGTCACCCAGGTTGCAGTGCAGTGGCATGTTGGACAAAATCTTTTTTTTTTTTTTTTTTTTTTGAGATGGAGTCTTGCTCTGTCACCCAGGCTGGAGTGCAGTGGCGCAATCTTGGCTCACTGCAACCTCTACCTCCCGGGTTCAAGTAATTCTCTTGCCTCAGCCTCCCTAGTAGTTGGGATTATAGGTATGCACCACCACGCCTGGCTAATTTTTGTATTTTTAGTAGAGATGGGGTTTCACCATGTTAGCCAGGCTGGTCTCAAACTCCTGACCTCAGATGATCCACCCACCTCCACCTCTCAAAGTTCTGGGATTACAGGTGAGCCACCACGCCCAGCCTGGACAAAATCTTTAGCTCCTCCATCCTGACAGAGGGAAGAAAGAAATGTCAAGTGGAAGATCTCTGATAGGAGCAGGGTTAGGATTGGGCATAGTGCCTGCCGACGGTCAAGGTGTGGGTTAAACACTGATAGGATAAACAAGGTCACTCTGAATCTCTGAGCAATTGATCTCTACAAAAAATACAAAAATTGGCCAGGCGCAGTGGCTCACACCTGTAATCCCAGGACTTTGGGAGGCTGAGGCGGGTGGATTGCCTAAAGTCAGGAGTTCAAGACCAGCCTGGCCAACATGGTGAAACCCCGTCTCTACTAAAAATACAAAAATTAGCCAGGTGTGGTGGCACATATCTGTAATCCCAGCTACTCGGGAGGCTGAGGCACGAGAATCGCTTGAACCCAGGAGACAGAGGTTGCACTAAGCCAAGATTGTGCCACTGCACTCCAGCCAGGGCGACAGAGCGAGAGTATCTAAAAAATATATACACACACACACACACACACACACACACACACAAATTAGCTGGGCATGGTGGCACATGCTTGTAGTCCCAGCTACTTACGGGGCTAAGGTGGAAGGATAATTTGAGCCTGGGAGGTTGAGGCTACAGTGAACCATGTTTATGCCACTACACTCCAGCCTGGGCAACAAAGTGAGACCCTGTTTCAAAAAAAAAAAAAGAAAAAAAAAGTTGAGTCAAAGACATTAATTGTTCTTGTAAATAAATCCAGATCATCATTTGATATTAGCAGAATACCCCAAGACAGCTTCCCTAGAAAGTGGTTTCAGAAACTGAGTAGGCTCTTCTAAATAAAGGTGGAGGCCTTCTGTTTCTATTCATAGTCCCCTATTTTGACGCCAGCCAGGACTCTGCCTTGTTCTAAGCTAAGTAGACTGTTGAACTTGGTTCCTCAGGGGGATCTCCTCCAAACCTCTGCTTTTAGAGGAAAATGTAGCCCTCAAACCACACCAAGGGAACCAGGAACACAAGTGGCTTGTGTCCTTTCCTATAACTGAGCTGGACACTGGCTGCTTTTTTTTTTTTTTTTTGAGACAGGGTCTCACTCTGCCACCCAGGCTGAGTGCAGTGGTGCCATCATGGCTCAGTGCAGCCTTGACCTCCTGGGTTCAAGTGATCCTCCTACCTCAGCCTCCTGAGATATTGGCACTATAGGCACATACCATCACACTTGCTAATTAAAACAATTTTTTCAGCTGAGTGTGGTGGCTCACGCCTGTAATCCCAGCACTTCACAAGGCCGAGGTGGGCAGATCATTTGAGGTCAGGATTCGAGACCAACCTGACCAACATGGCAAAACCCTGTCTCTACTAAAAATACAAACATTAGCTGGCCATGGTGGTGCATGCCTGTAATCCCAGCTACTAGGGAGGCTGATGCACAAGAATTGCTTGAGCCTAGGAGGCGGAAGCTGCAGTGAGCTATCACGCCACTGCACTCCAGCATGGCAACAGAGTGAGACTCTGTCTCAAAAAGAAAAAAAGTGTTTTTCATAGAGACAGGGGTCGTGCTATGTTGCCCAGGCTGGTCTCGAACAGCTGGGCTCAAGTGATCCTCTTGCCTTGGCCTCCCGAAGTGCTGGAATTACAGGTGTGAGTCACTGCTCCCAGGCTCAGCTGCTTTATTATAACTCCCACACTGATACCCATAGTTAGAAAATAGCTCCCTATCTGCCTGAGCATCTAGCACTCCTTTGGACATTATAGTTCTTCAAGAGCAAGCCCAAATTTAATCCACTGTACTCTCCCAAAATGAAGCCTCTAAGACTTGATGTAGGCAAGCTGGCACATCTACTTCTTACTCTTTGCATAAGCATCATATATCTGTCTCTATCTGGATCCACTCAGTTCCCCCCTCCTTACCCACATAGCCTTCAATGTTCTTTTTCCATCTTTGCCCAAGGAAAATGACTAAAATCCTAAGATATAATATCATAACTTTATTCAGGAGATAATCAAATATAATACAGGGCTGACACTGACACACAGCTATGCATAAAAATTATATAAATCTGCTTGCTAGATTTTCCAGAAGAGGCCTAATCATTATAAAAAATAAAGGGAAACCACGAGGGTGCCTAAATGACTGCAGTGTTTCAAGTAAGCGTAAGCATTTCCACACTCCCTTGTAGTGAAGGCAGCCCCAGGTGAAGGTGGTCCTACTAGCAGGAAGATTAGGAGGCAGCAGCTGTGCAGAAGCCACGTTTCCTGGCCCTGCCAGAGCTCAATGATAGGCCTTGTTGAACTCCAGGAGAGCCCACCGCTTGTTCTCCGTTGCCTGCTTGAGTACGGTGTACTCTTTCACCAGCCTGTCAAACTCTTCCCCAAGGACCTCATAGGAGTTCAGGACCTGTCTTGACTTCTCCATGTCCTGCTCCTGTAGGTGAATGGCTCCCTCCAAACGGTCCCTAAGAGCCCGGGCAGAGAAGGTACAATATAAGGATGCTGCTCCTCAGAAAGTAGTAGACAAAAATGAAAACTTTTTCTTTCTTTTTTTGAGACGGAGTCTCGCTCTGTCATGGAGGCTGGAGTGCAATGGTATGATCTTGGCTCACTGCGGCCTCCGCCTCCTGAGTTCAAGTGATTCTCCTGCCTCAGCCTCCCGAGCAGCTGGAACCACAGGCACACACCACCATGCACAGCTAATTTTTGCATTTTTTAGTAGAGACAGGGTTTCACCATACTGGCCAGGCTGGTCTCAAACTCCTGACCTCAAGCAATCCGCCGACCTCAGCCTCCCAAAGTGCTGGGATTACAGGTGTGAGCCACCGTGCCTGGCCAAAAATGGCAACATCTTTAAATAAATGAGTTTAGGGAATGTGAGAATCACCTGTGAACAGCTGTACCAGACTCTTAGGAGTTCTCACCTAATCAGACGATGAACTTCCACTTTCTCAACAGTGTAAGTGTCGGACAAAATCTTTAGCTCCTCCATCCTGACAGAGGGAAGAAAGAAATGGCAAGTGGAAGGTCCCTGATAGCAGCAGTATTGGGAATGGACACAGTACCTGCTGATGGTCAAGGTGTGGGCTAAGCACTGATAGGACAAACAAGGTCACTCTAAATTCCCGAGCAATTGATCTCACAGTAAAGTGCCTATTTCAGAAGGCTGTAAAAGAAAAGTCTCAAGGATGTTGAAAGCTTTTGGGTAATCCAAAAGGTAATACTCCTATGTGACATTTACTGGATACCCACAAGGTGCTAGGATAAGGGAGAGGAAAGAGATTAGGGTGAGGGATAGAGGGCTGATATGTGAGACAGAATCCCTTAGATCCACAGGGGTCACAGCTCACCTCAGCTTAAGGATCATAGCACTGCATTTGACTTCCAGGTACTGGGCATTGATGCGGTCTAGCTCGGATTGAGTCTTCAGCCGGTGTTCCTGAAGAAGCCTCTGCAGCAAAGTGAGGCAGCGGAGAAGCACCTGAGCCCCAGATGGAGGAAGAAGAGGGCATAAATATAGTAGAAAGGAGCGTAGATCAGGAATCTTTGGCTTCCCCAAAAGTGCTCCTGAGGTCAGGATAAAGGAAAGGGGCTGTCCCATGCCCTGATAAACCTGGGAGTAAGTAGCACTCTTCTTCTCCAGCAGCAACATCTGCTCCTTCTGTTGGCTCTTGGCATCCTGGCACTGCTGCTGCTCACCCACCAGGACCTCTGCAAGTTTCCATACCTTTGCTGCCTTCACGGTTTCACTGTCAGCATCTGGGCAAAGGGGGCAGAGGACTGACAGGAAAACCCTAATCGCTACAACCCCTCTAAAGCAACTTTCCAGTGCCCCTATCCTATATCTAGCCCCACAAATCCTGCCTAGTAACAGGTTTTCTTCTAATAATCTATTAAAAATGGCCCCATTCTGGGCTGGGCATGGTGGCTCATGCCTGTAATCCTAGCACTGCAATCCTAGCCAAGGCAGGAGGATTGCTTGAGCCCAAGAGTTCAAGACCAGTTTGGGCAACATAGTGAGACCCTGTCTCTACAAAAAAAATTCTAAAATATTAGTTAGGCATACTATGCGCCTGTAGTGCCAGCTACTTGGGAGGCTGAGGTGAGAGGATCACTTGAGTCCAGAAGGTCGAGGATGCAGTGAGGTTTGATTGTGCCACTGCACTCCAGCCTGGGTGACAGAGTTTAAAAAAAAAGAGGAGTGGGGGGCGTCTGGTTCTCATAATTATTAAATAAATTATCTTCACTCTTACCTTTGATTCCAGATTTGGACCTTAATTCTTTTTTTTTTTTTTTTGAGATGGAGTCTCGCACTGTCACCTTGGCTGGATGCAGTGGCACAATCTCAGCTCACTGCAACCTCTATCTCCCAGGTTCAAGCAATTCTCCTGCCTAAGCCTCCCAAGAAGCTGGGATTACACACGCCCGCCACCACACCCAGCTAATTTTTTGTATTTTTAGTAGAGACGGGGTTTCACTATGTTGGCCAGGTTGGTCTTGAATGCCTGACTTCATGATCCACCCGCCTCGGTCTCTCAAAGTGCTGGGATTACAGGCGTGAGCCACCGCGCCAGGCCCGGACCTTAATTCTTAAGTCATAGAAATGGTTTAGGGAGGCCAAGTGTGGTGGCTCATGCCTGTAATCCCGGCACTTTGGAAGCCCGAGGCGGGCAGATCACCTGAGGTCAGGAGATTGAGACCATCCTGGCTAACATGGTGAAACCCCAACTCTACTAAAAATACAAAAAATTAGCCAGGCGTGATGGCAGGCACCTGTAATCCCAGCTACTCGGGAGGCTGAGGCAGGAGAATGGAGTGAACCTGGGAGGTGGAGCTTGCAGTGAGCTGAGACCACGCCACTGCACTCCAACCTGGGGGACAGAGCGAGACTCCGTCTCAAAAAAAAAAAAAAAAGATACACATTCAGGGTGGTCAGACTCAAATAAGAAAATCATTATACCGAAGCAAGTAAAAGCTGAAATATGAATACTACATCTAGAAACACATTATTATAAACAGCATGACATAAATGGTATTATACCCTCCAAGTTTATACAGAGATTATAAGGTGTTCTATGAGTCTGAACTTTCCTCCCTAAACCATTCTGAACCTCCTGAGAGAACCTCGTGCAGCAGGAGGACACTCCCACTTGGTATCTTGCTGAATAAAGAGTCCTTACAAAAGTCCTTGTTTTGGCTGGGCGTGGTGGCTCACACCTGTAATGTCAGCACTTTGGGAGGCCCAGGCAGGAGGATCACTTGAGGTCGGGAGTTCCAGACCAGCCTAATCAACATGGAGAAACCCCATCTCTACTAAAAATACAAAATTAGCTGAGCGGGGTGGCGCATGGCTGTAATCCCAGCTACTCAGGAGGCTGAGGCAGGAGAATCACTTGGACCTGGGAGGCAGAGGTTGCAGTGAACAGAAATGGCACCATTGCACTCTAGCCTGGGCAACAGGAGCGAAACTCCATCTCAAAAAAAAGTCCTTGTTTTTATTCCACCAGCAATGAAACAAATAAGCATCTCTGATGGGTCTAAACCTCTGTCCCAAATCTAAAATCAAAATATATTAGTCTCAAAAGAGCAGACCAGGAACCCTGAAGTCCAGCTGTGAGCAGAACAGAGAGCTAGCACTCACCTGAATTGGGATCATAGTAGCAGAGCAGAGTGAAACATTTCTTTTTGAGCTGCTCCTCTACTTCTTGCTGTAGCCGAGCCCTCATCCACACAAAATCCTAGTCACAGAAGTAAAAGCAGAAATGCAAATAGACTGTAAGAACTAGGACATCTCAGCAATGAATACATGATGATAACCCGAACAATAGCCAAAGAAAATGCATCAAGAGACATCAGAGAGACTCATTTTCACCTATCCATTAGCGAAGAATAAAATGACTGTTAAGACCCCATGTTGGTGAGCACATGGGGGATCCAGGAGTCCTGAAAATACCTTTCTGGATAGCAGTTTGGCATTAGGTACCAATATTGTATATGAGTATGCACTGACTCAGGAATCCCACTTTTAGCACCAACACTACAGAAATAATCATACAAAGGTAAAGACACATATGAACCAGCATGTTCATCTCCCTGTGGTTTCTAACAGCAAAAATGTGGAAACAACCTTAATATCCATCAATAAGGTTAAGCAAATTATTCTACATCCATACAGTAGAATCCTAGCAGAGATTTAAACTGATGACATAACACTAAGCACTATGTGCCTAGATACTTTGCTAAGAGTGCTATAAAAGGTATCATCTAATATACACTTATGTATTGACTTGAAAAGAAATCCGAAATATATTACATGAAAATAGACTGTACTTTTCTTTTTTTGAGACAGGGTCTCACTCTGCCCAGGCTGCAGTACAGTGGCATGATCACAGCTCACTACAGCCTTGACCTCCCACCCTCAAGTCAACCTCCCTTCTCAGTCTCCCGAGTAGCTGGGACTACAGGTGTGCACCACCACACCTGGCTAACTTTTCTTTTTTTTGGTAGAAATGAGGTCTCACTATATTGCCCAGGCTGGTCTTGAACTCCTGGACTCAAGTGATCCTCCCACCTCAGCCTCCCAAAGTGCTAAGATTATAGGCAGAAGTCACTACACTCAGACTTATACTCTCTGTATAAGCATGAAGGGTATAATACCATTTTCGTCAAGCTATTTATAATAATATTGTGCTTCTAGATGCAGTATTTCAGCTTTTACTTGCTCCTGTGTAACGTTTTTCTTATTTGAGTCTGACCACCCTGAATGTGTATCATTTTTACAAAAACAATAAAGCTTGACAAAAAACATTTTAAAGATATGGGAGAGGCCGGGCGCGGTGGCTCAAGCCTGTAATCCCAGCACTTTGGGAGGCCGAGACGGGCGGATCACGACGTCGGAGAATCGAGACCATCTGGCTCAACCACGCGTGAAACCCCGTCCTACTCAAAAATACAAAACTAAGCCAGGTGCGGTGCGGAGCGCCTGTATCCAGCTACTCGGGAGGGCTGAGGGCAGGAGAGATGGCGTGACTGGGAGGCGGAAGCTTGCAGTGAGCCGAGATCCGGCTTGACCAGCCTGGGCGGCAAGCCAGACCTC